GAATGTCCGAATTCTTCAGGAGATTGAAGCACAGAGCATGAAATCGCTGTAGAATTTGCCAGTCAGTGGTGGAGTTGTCACTTAGTGTGAAGGACAGAAGTTCCAGGAGCTGTATCTCTGTAACGTAGTGCAGCTCGCTTGCCGCTTCTTGATAATGGAGCTTCAGCAGCTCGAGTTCTTCGAGTGTTTTTTCATCGTTTTGCTTCATCGCTTGAAACTCACGAAGCACCTGCGGTACTCTAGGAATGTTATCGGGAACATAAATCAGCGATGATCCGTGACTGCAAAAGATTATTGTGAAAACACTTCAGCCTTACTTAAAGTTTACTTTTCTTTACTTTCCTTTTCAGTTGATTTACTTTTAGTAACTAAATCTTCCTTAAATTTTCTCTTAAGCCTGTAGTGGACTTTCAAGCACGTTGGAGGGGGCCCATAACAGAGAGAAGTGGCCTTATTAACTTAAAACGAGACGCTAGCAAGTTGTCAGCTGTCAGTATTGTCTCCCCAAAGATCGCGACTGCTATACACAGAGGAATTTGCGTCCAACTCGCGCCATAAAACTACGTCTGTCCTGTCGTTTTTGTAAACAAATAGGAGGGAGGGAAGAGGAATTTATTCCTGAGAGTGGAATTAATACATTTCCAGGTCCAAAAAATAAGAGCAGGACTTCTTTAAGAGGGAGAATAAAGAATTTACGGCATATCAATAATCATGACAAAGAAGCCTTGCAGGGCAAAGCAAGGTCTCATGCGTTTTAAATTCTACTCAGACAATACGTGAGCAGTGCAGTTCAAGTGTAACACGAGTGCAAATTGCACATCGTAATTCTGGATTATGATAGGCTGAAAGAAAATAGGAAATTTTCTAAGCCAATGATATCACATAAAATGATGACGACAATTTTGTGCGAAAACTTTGAAAAACGTTTTCTCGAATGAGACAAAATGGCTTCAAGAAAGATCTTCCGGCCCTTCCTCCACGCGAATTTGTTCATGTTTATGTTAGTAAAAAGTAATTATACGGTTTTTCTCGTTCAATTTGGAATTAATTTGCACTTGTATGTTTTTAAAGAAGCTCACTCGTGCAAATCAATTCCAAACTGAACTCGAAACTGTATGATCACCTATTCTAAATAATTAATTAATTATACGAAAAAGAAGTGGCGGATCGGCCCTAGTGATTTAGAAAAACATTTGACTATAAAAAAAATTGCGACATAACATTTCTTAAAAGCATTCTGATGTTTAATAATCTAAAAAGCTGGATTAAAAATCGACGACGTTTCGACGTTACCGTAACGTCATTATCGTTATCATTATGCGGCCAGTTTTTATAAGCAAGAAATCAGAGCAAGATCTTAAACCTAAAGAAGCCAAGCCGTCAATTTGTCAATCAGCAATGCGTTGTTTATCTCGCCGACACCTTTTTCAGCGTGTTGCTGAACACAAAAATTCGGCAGTCGGCAAACATTTTCGTGAAGCGCACGGTAGGAGTGATCTTTTGAATTAGCCATTTCAAGATTCTGAGAAAGTGCCCAGGCAAATTGGATTGTTAGTGTTTGAAATTCTTTACATCAAGAAATTGAAACGTAATTTGAACGTCTAAACGGACTCCATAAGTGCAAACCTTTTTGTTTTAATTTGACTCATAACTTTTGTAATTATTTTCATCGCGTATTGTTCGTCTTAGTATTTATAGAACCTAGTTTTTTATACATTTTTGACTTGATAATGACGTTACGGTAACGTTGAAACGTCGTCGATTTTTAATCGAGCTTTTTAGTTTTTAGAATGCTTA